TATAATACAACAAGAAAATATACAAAAATAGACAAAATAACAAACACGACCTTCATACCTCTCGATTAAACAACATCAGACTTCGAATACAAACTTTGTTAACCTACGACTAAACAACACAGCACCCCGAACACAAATTACTTAATAACATCGAGGTTAATAACTCCGTTCAACGCCTCGAACGTTGGGGGTATAATAGACAAATTAACTTAAAAGGGTGAGAGTTAATAAATTTATGGTTTTTAATAAATAAATAAATAAATATAGAGAGTGTTTTTGGATAAGCAACAATATTTTTCTTCTTACTTTGTTTGCTTATTTTTTTCCTTTTGCAGTTAGCCAAATCTCAGTAAACAGATTCTGATGACGTCATAATGTCCCAAAAGTGGGTCCCTTTGGACTCTGAATTCAAACACAAATGGTCAAACTCAAAAACAGTTTAATTATATATATATATATATATAAATATATATTATTTTCTATATTAAATTATAAGTTCAATTATTAAATTTGTAATTTTGGATCTAAAATATATTTAAACTTTTTAAAATATATATATTTAATAATAATTATTAACAATTTTGGGTTTAATAAATTTCTGAAGATTTATTATTAATTTATCCGATATAAAATTAAATTTTTATTATTGAATAGAATATTAAACTTTCAATTTTATGTAAAAATAGTGTGAGGGCCCATGTTTGTTGTAGAGGAGAACGATGAGGTTTATAATTATACGTAACACGCTAAAGTGGACAATGTCTACTAGCGATGGACTTAAGCAGTTACAAATGGATCAGAGCAAGATATCGGACTGTGTGTTAGTGAGGACGATAGCCCCCCTCCCTCCCGAGATTCCACCTCGGTCGGAGACGGGAATGAAACGTTCCTTGTAAGAGTGTAAAAACATCTAACTAGTATACGTGTTTTAAAAATCTTGAGGTTGATGGGATACATTTTAAAAGTTGTGAGGTTTCAGATTGATTGTAAATGAGAACGAAACGTTTTTATAAGGACGTGAAAATCTTTCTCTAGTAGATGCATTTTAAAAATTGTGAGGTTGATGGTGATATAACAGGCCAAAGTGGACAATATCTGCTAGCGATGGGCTTGGGTAGTTACAAATGGTATCAGAGCAAGGCATCAGGGAGGTAGATTGTGAGATTCCACCTCGGTTGGAGAGGGGAACGAAACATTCCTTATAAGGATGTAGAAACCTCTAACTGATAGACGTGTTTTAAAAATCGAGACTGACAAGATACACGTAACGAACCAAAACTGACAATATCTACTAGCTTAGCAGTGAGCTTGGGTGGTCACAAATAGTTTCCTAAATGTTTTTTAAAAACTAAACTATTAGGTAAAATTGAAAGTTTAGGAACTTATTAGAAATAAAATCATTTTTAAAAACTATAATTTAATATTATTTTCTAGGCTTAAAATATATACTTAATAAATATAAACTATACATATATAAGATCAGGTACGTGTGTTTCTCGATTTGATGCCCAAGAGACCTCAGGGTCAAGTTGATCTGATTCCAAGTCCATATTTTCGGGTCGAGTGAAATTTCATATAAATACAGTATTATGGTTCCTCGTTTTCCACCGTCAAAACTTTAAGGTGTTGCTACATTTCTTCACTCTGTAATTTAGGTATCAGGGTGTGATAAACAGTATACCGGTATACAGTTCCTTCTTCTTTTGAAGGGCGCATGAATTGATATCTCAATTAAATGTTGACTTTTAAAAGTTGAAAAACTATAATAACATTTAGACCGAGGATTTAGACCAAATAGTTAAAAATGGTAACTAACTTTTAAGAACTAAAATTTAACCTTCAAAATATATATTTTCTTACCCAAAAAAAAAAAAAAAAAAAAAATCTTTGTTCCAATAAAAAAAGGCCAAGAAAAAGAGTTAATAATATCCATTATATATGGTAAGTTTTACATCACCTTATTTTTCTACATAATTAAGTCAAATTTATTGACTCCAAAGCAATATTGGTGGATAGTTGATGTTTAGAAACATGTGCCCAATCTTGGTTTAATTTTCGATACAATAGAATAAAATTGCAAGGATGGATGCTCGGGATTTGAGTTAAGACTGAGTTATGTTTCTTTGTTCATACCTGCATTGAATTTAGATCAAGATTTAAAATTCGGATTCAGTATCGGATAGCTCTGACCAACATGAGTCATTTACCACTGTTAATTCATGCCCATAGTTTGGATCAGGATTTAAGACTCGGATTTGGTACCTGATGTCTCTAGCCAACATGAGTCATTTTTCTTTATTCATTCATGTTCGGAATTTAGATCAAGATTTAAAATTCAGAATTTGGATCAAAATTTAAAATTTGGATTTGGTCCGTAATGATTCTGACCAACATGAGTCATTTTCCTTTATTCCTTCATACCCAGAATTTGATTCGGTATCTGATGGCTTTGACTAGCGTGAGTGATCGAGATTTAAAATTCGAAGGGTAAAATGGTAATTTAATATATTTTTAAAACCAGGGTGCCTCCCACAATATTTTAAAATAGGTATAGTAATTTTTATTTTAGGTAAAACCATTATTCAAACGGACAATTTTACTAAAAGACAATTAATTTAAGGGAAAAAAAAAAAGGTAGACTAAAATCATTGATTGGACAGAGGATTTGAATTAAATGAATATGATTTTGTTGTTATAAATAGAATCATCTGATGAATACACCATTTTAACACACTCCACCTTTATTAATAGTTCTGTTTGACATTTGATTTTAACATTATTCAATAAAGTTATTTAATATTTATATTTAATACATCCCATCTAATAAATTAAATTTCTCAAACTTAAAAAATGATAAATAAGTTTCTTTCGAACGATAGAATGCCAAAAAAATTTATCAGAAATAAACAAGAAAGTACACAAAACCCGAAATCTACCAAGATTAAAGATGTAACAATCCAAATCCACTGCTAACAGATATTATCCTCTTTCGAGCTTCCTCTCAAAGTTTTTAAAACGTGTCTGCTAGGGATAAGTTTTCACACCCTTATACAGAATGTTTCATTCTCCTCTCTAATCGACATAAGATCTAACAAAAAAAGCATAAAGAAATCCATAAGTGGTTGTTTGGTTCGAAGTTTTGTTTAGAACATATGAATACCTAAGAATAAATGTTTCACGGGAAAGAAACAAGAAAATACACAAAATCCGGAATTTACCGAGATTAAAGAGCATAAAAAAGTTCACAAAGGGATTGTTCGGTTCAAAGTTTTACGAAAAAGAAACAAGAAAGTACACAAAACCCACGGAAATTAGAGCGGAGAAAGAGAAGAAAGTTGGAGAGTGTTAATTGTGGACAGTTAAAGCTTTTGTATTTTGTTATTGAGAACTCACCAACAACCTATGAAGGGAGGGAAACCCAATTCATTTGGTTGGTTGCATTACAGATTTTGAGAAACATTCCAAATTCCACATAATGCATTTCTGGCTGTGCAGTTACATTAGGTTGTCATAACCCATCATTACCATTTCTTTTTTGTTTTTTGGTTTTCTTTAAGGTTCTAATCCTTTCCTTTCCTAACAACTCCTACGTTCACGTCACTACAGACGTTCTTAACATAACAAATTCATCAAATCTTTAAAGTAATTCTAGTTGACCGACTGACTCATTAGTGAGAGTGAGTATTGCACAATCGCTCTACAAAATTTCGAGAAAGTACGATTGTAACATATAACAAGACACCTGAAATGGAAGAGGGTCGGACAAAGGACACCTCTTAACAAAATCACTAAGAATCAAAATCACTTATTAAGAGAAGTTGGTTTTGTACGGAGCTGATTCACCAATGGCTATTTTATTCTCACATTCATAAAAAGCACATTTCCATATCCAATAACTTATTCCACAAGAGAAAAGATTCAGAGATGAACCAAATACGTCCAAATCATGTTATTTATCATCAATGTTGAGCACTTTTTCCTAAATCCAGCGATGGGTATTAACTTTTGAAGTAGGCAAAACCCTGAGTGCCAACTGTTAGTATCCATTTATACCAAATATGATTCAAATTAGAATATGCTATGTGGGAAACGTCTAACTCTATTCTACATATACTAAAACCTGACCTATTACTCCAATCAAAGCTTTTCCAATAATTAAGTTGTTTCATCCAAGAAAAATACATTTCAAAATGTAACCAATTTTCAAAACACAAAAGTGGATTCAGAGAAAATTCTTCACTTTCAAACCCAACCCAACCCGACCCGTGCTAACCCGACTCGACCCCTATGTGCTGCTAAAGTTGAAAAGCCAGATTGAAGAGGAGGATAGTAGTAATGAAGAAAACCTAACCAAACAAACACCATTCAAAAAGCAGATCCCCCACCAACCACCCTACCCATCTTTCACTATTTCTAGCAAGTCTTTTGGTTCTCTCATGTCTATTTTAGTGAATGGCTTTCCCATTTGGAGTATTGATAACTCCACCAAACATCAAGAGGTTAGCATTTTTACTAACCAAAGTTTAATAAGTGAATCACAGCATAATCTGATACAGGCAATAATCCAAAACTAGCATTTGAAAACAAACTAGTTTCAATGCTATCTGATACGGTGAATCAACTGTGAGCCATATGTCTCAAACTGGGAATACGACAGTAACCTAATAAAATTTAATAATCACATCATAGAAGTACATAATCGTACCTTTTTTGGGTGCTCGTTGATGCATTCTACACAGTCCCTTAAGAACTTTAACAAAATTCATAACATCAGATGTTATCCACCTGAAAAATGAATGTTCTCAAGTAGGGAATCAGAAAACAGAGCACAGCTTATAGTATTGAAAGTGGGAGAAAAGGGAAGCAAAGGAGAATTTCAGATAACCAGTTTAGAATTCAATCCACAGAACTCTGTCGACGCAGCTGCAGGGAGAACCGTTTCAAAACGTGTGCATTTGACCATGGGTTTGTTAAAGTTCAAGTGTTCTTTAAACCATGGGTTTGTTTAACCTGATATTGTTCATTTCAATTATGTTCGATATAAGATCCCTTCTATGTTTATGTTTGACACTTGAAGCACTTAGAGAAGTGAAACTAAAAGCTTCAACTTTGATATTTCAAGAAAAGAATGACAGTAGAGAGTTACACATCTTAAAATATACAAGAACAAGTTCGAAGTTGGTTGCTGAAGGAATGGAACCAGACTAGCTCCAACCTGTTAATCCTAATTTGTCAGCAAGGTTGTACATCACTAGTTTATCCCAAACAGGTCCAAAGAGGCGTTCTCCTCCAATGGCAAATGTCAAGGCCCAAGACGAGATAATGGCCATGAAAACAGCAAAACCAATAGCTGAGCCAACAATATCTAAAGGAAGAGTAATTTCAAATCGTTAGATAACTTTATCAAGTACCAAACCGAGATAATGGGAAAAATAATAAAAGTAAATTTCTATTAAGATTATATATATAAAAAAAAAAGAATACGCTACCATAATGTGGATCTAGGAGTAACTAAAAATATACCTTGTTAAAATTCATAACAAAAACTCGTAATAGCCGAAGTAAGGAAAATTTTGACGAAAGATATAAGATAAAAAAATAAAAGCTCAGCTATGTATATTTAGAAAAGATGAGAATTAATTGTAAATATTCTTATGCAAGGAACACCATCTAGAAAGCTAGTGAAACTACAAAGTCCTCAATTTCACTCCTAGGCCTAGTTATACCCTCAATAGTTCCTAGGAACTCTAACTAGAGATCCAAAATTTGTGATTGAAACTATGTTAACCAAATTCCTTTTGAAGCCGTGACCTATTCTTAGAATTTGAATGAGGGAATCCTGAGTGCTGGCCAGAAAGCACCACTATAGGTTGAAAAGATCCAGAATACTGTACCATATCCTCATGCTAAAGTTAAGTGGATTGTCATATGGCTTTGATCCTATCCTAACCATTTCAAATACCTAGAGAGACGATACAAAATTATAAACATTATCAAGAATGTCATACTTTTCATAGTAAACAAACCAAAATAAGAACTCAGCTTTCTTAGACATGTTCAACTTCTACAATTTGTTGCAAAAAAATATGGTCTTCAATCTATCTTATCAATGATATAAACAGTCTTGCAATAGAAATTTTATCTTGCAAACTCCAGTATCAGAGTGACTTAATGAAGAAGCCTTCCAGTATAGAGAGCATTGATCTCAAATAGATTCATTATTGTATTACAATTATAGTATCATTGTAGCAGTACAACTATAAATTCCACTATGAAACAATTTTCCTTCCTAAATTGAAATTAGTTGAGGCGTGTGTAAGCTAGCATGGACATACAAATATGAATATAAAAATTAAAATTGAATTAGATAATTTTAACTACAGTTAAGAACAAATACATTATCGCTTTTAAGGTTTTAATCACTGAGGCTCGTGCCTTGAATCATAAGTGTAATGAAATAGACGGAAAAGGAAAACAATGAAATCAAGTTTTTCTTTGGGGGGCAGGGTTTGGGTGGTTCTTGTATCATATTCATGACCCACTCCACTAATCCCAAAGAGTCCAGGTGTATAGGTCGTTAAGTTTTCGAGCCTGAGTGTTCAACCCAAAGCCTCGGAGAGTATCTCAAAAAAAAAAAAAAACACCGGTTATTAAGTTCTCAAGCTCGTGGGTTGAACCCAGGCCTAGGAGAGTATCTCAAAAAAGAACCCACCCCTATTATACACGGACAAAAAACCAACTTTGCAACACGCACACAAAACCAACCTTGCTCCCATAGTTAGTTTATTTATTCATACAAATATACGCCTACACTCCAGACTACCCTTATCACATACACACACACACACACACACACAAAAAGGCACCCTTATTTCCTTAATTATGAACCAAGGGCCTTGTAGAGTACCACCAAACAATCTTACCATCAAGGAGATACGTGAAAAGGCAGAATAAACCACCATAAATTGGCCCCTTTAGAAGGGTTTCTCATCCACACGAGTGCGGATACACAAAAACCACCCTTCTTAATGATTCGAAACCGAGAAAACCATCAAAAGAATCCACCCTAATTTTCCTTGCTGGTTTATGATTAAACTCGTACATACCCTAGTAAACCAGTGTACACATGCCCCTAGGTAGACCAGATGGATGCATAAGGAAGTTCATACACAGTTTTTCTCAAAAAAAGAAAAAAAGATGTGCCAAATGAGTTGATATGAACTGCGACCATGACAAATAATCTGAGGCCAAAACATTAAATTGTTGTACACTTGGAAGCAAGAACCAAAAATCTTGACTACATTTTTTAATTAAAGAAAGAAAAAAGATATGCATAATGAAGCTCAAATGAATTGCAACTTTGACAAGCAATCAAAGGCTTATTTACAAATGTTGTATAGCGCAAGAGCCAAGCATTTTTAATTTCCTTCAAAAGTGTTTGTACTCTGTAGGACATGAGGTGCTAATTATAAGCATAAAAAAATGCAAATCCTTGTCACTTCAATGGAAGGCTGACATTAGGAAACCAGAGAGTACCTCCAAATTCATAAGGCTCAATTTAGCGAACTAGAACACGATTACTAATCTTTTTTATCCACTTTTTTCCAGTAAATTATGAAGAGTATCAATGAATCTTTGTCATAAAAAAAAAAAAATGCAAATCTTTGTCACTTCAATGGAAGGCTGACATTAGGAAACCAGAGAGTACCTCCAAATTCTTAAGGCTCAATTTAGTGAACTAGAACACGATTGCCAATCTTTTTTATCCACTTTTTTCCAGTAAATTATGAAGAGTATCAATGTATCATTGCTTAAAGTATTATTGCAAAAGCTATAAACTCAAGACAATAATGTATAACATGAATCACCATGTCCCAATATAATGAAGCAAACTACAAAGAGAAAGAAGGGGAATTATCAAAATGGCACAAATAAACAGCTTAGAACTCCTTGCATCCACTGACCAAGCCTATGAAAAAGAACAACGCATGGACAAGGATAAATCGATGGGCACTCAGTTTTGTAATACAAATATCTACATCACAACGGCATCATGCATTTCTCCACAAAATAGTTTCATTCTTGGGCTTCCAAACATTGAAGCATAACTAGTGAAACAGAATCGCGTTAAAATATAACTCAAAAACCAGAACAACAACCAATAACCCGTAATGCTACCATCATTAGAATATTGAGGTAAGATAAATCCAACAATAGGGTCTTATTCATGTTCTCCTTCCGGGGTAATCCCTTTACACCATTGTGTTTACTTACCGGTAAGGGAAAAATGTTAGAAGTGAATCACGTTCGAGTGCTTCTTTCTTCGAGCCAATAACCTTTCTAGACAAGGGATAAAGGATAAAAGAAAGTCTCTGTTATTCATAGTAGTCCAATGTCCCTTTTCAAGCGGCTAGTTTCTTACCGTTCATATAGATCAATAGCTGGTTCTAAGGCTAGACACCAAGTAAGCTAGTTTAGTTCCCTCACTGATGTTAGGAATCACGAATCTCCACAATAGTATGATATTGTCCACTTTGAGCATAAGCTCTAATGGTTTTCTTTTGGGCTTCCCCAAAAGGTCTCATACCAATGAAGATGTATTCCTTACTTATAAACTCATGATCATTCCTTAAACTAGCCAATGTAAGACTCCCTCTCAACAATCCTCAACCACGGATTCTGAGGATTATTTTAAGTTCATTTTTTATATTCATATTGACCTGGGACAATCTTTCAAGTCCTATCTTACAGGACATGATATCCAGCACTAGCTTTCCTTGTTTAGGGCTACAAAATACATCTGAATTCGAAGAATGAATGCTCTTACTATGAAGATCCCCGGTTAAGTGTAAATTAAGAAAATGACTGAAAGTAGAGACGCGTGCATCGAAGTTAAACAGAGAGAGGCAAACTCACAGGGACGAATGCGAGGAAATGAGCGAGAGCGAAGAACTGGCCAGAAGTAGAAGCAATTAACCGCCCAAAGAAATGGAAGCAATGCAAATCCAAATTTATAGAATCTGCGGGCATAGCTCACCGATTCTTCCTCCGACAGCCCGAGTGAGCCATCAATTGTCGGCCATAACACAGCAATCGGCGACGATACAAGATTCTGGATGCGAATCGGATTAGGGTTTAGATTGCTGTTCGAATTCTGCGAGTTCTCCATTGCAATCAAGTTTCAATGACTCTGAACACAAAGACCAACCGAAGTTTTAGGCAAAATGTTCATAGTCGCTTTTTCTCTCTCTTTTTCAATTTTTAATTCATATTTCTTAAAAAAAAATTCAAAAATATAATAATTTCACAAAGAATATTTAAAATAAAAAAATAGTTCACCATTTTTAATCAAGTTTAAAATTGGTGTCATTAATATTAATGTGATATTTTGTTATTATTTTTATTGTATTTTATTGAATAAAAAATTTAAATTCTCGACTCGAAGGACATCTAAAAATGCAATCACATGCAACATAATTTCATGGTATGACCTACTTTTCCGGATTCTTTCTTTAGATTTATTTTCTTTTTTTTCAATTAAAGTTTGATGCATAGTACTTCTCTACATATGATTCGTAAACACGCACAAGAATCCACTAAACGAGCTCGTTTAGATACCCCTTAGGTTTGATTACGAGCTAGCGCATGCTCACACTACGAAATCAATGGAAAAAAATGGGTGTGTATCATAACATGGTGTATGTACCCGTATAAAACATATTGCTCGTGACGTACAACATACATAAGGTCTCACATTTTCAAATCATGGTACATGGTTATGATGCACATTATATTTTCATATGTTTCCGGACATAACCTTCTTATGAGATATACATGTTGGATGATGAAAGTCCCACATCGGTTAATTTAGGGAATGGTCATGGGTTTATAATCTAAGAATACACTCTCCATTGGTATGAGGCCTTTTGGGAAGCCCAAAGCAAAACCATGAGAGCTTATGCTCAAAGTGGACAATATCATACCATTGTGGAGAGTCGTGTTCGTCTAACATGGTATCAGAGCCATGCCCTAAACTTGGTATCAGAGTCATGCCCTAAACTTAGCCGTGCCAATAGATTGGCAAATCCTCAAATGTCGAACAAAGGACTCCAAAAAGGAGTCAAGCCTCCTTGAAGGTACGAAGGCAGTCAAAAATGACTAAGACTCCAAAGGAGTCAAGCCTCGATTAAGGGGAGGCATGCTTTGTTCGAGGGGAGGTGTTGGATGATGAAAGTCCCACATCGGTTAATTTAGGGAATGGTCATGGGTTTATAATCTAAGAATACACTCTCCATTGGTATGAGGCCTTTTGGGAAGCCCAAAGCAAAGCCATGAGAGCTTATGCTCAAAGTGGACAATATCATACCATTGTGGAGAGTCGTGTTCGTCTAACAATACATACATGTCTATGTCATATCATGCATCTTATACATAATTCATCAGACCATAACATAAACATGGTATCATAACATTACAAGGATTGACATACTAGAAGTATATGTATCACAAAAAGTTCATAAACATCACATCATATAAGTAATAACACTTAGATAAGTTATGGAGTACGTGCTATTCATAAATATATAATTCATTCAACCTAGTCCAAATTCGTTCCAACCGTAAAACTACTTACTTATAGGCCTGATGCGAAGTCTGTAATTTTCCTACTTTGGTGTTCGTTGGATCCTGCTTGCCAACATCTGAGAGTATCTATGACAGTCCATGATATCATAATTAGAACCTTTCTAAGGATTGCAGTCATGATACGGACATGGGCGCCTTGTATTTAATTTTTAATAATAATTTTGATTATTTTAATTTCGATTTTATATTATCCATTATATATAAAATCTAAGACTATTTATGTAATTTTAAACCGTATGTGATTGACATACAGTAGGATCATGTTCAAGTAATAACTAAAAGGTGTTGTCGTGGTAATAATATTGTTGCATCCCATTTTGTATATGTGGAGACATGTGAGTAGGAATATTCTATACAATGAGTTTGTATAACATTAGAACATGAAGTGCTGAAACTTTAACAATGGGGTCACACCCTCTCATTAGCTCGAAAATGAATTAATTTATGATTGGATCATAAACAAATTGTTCGTTAGAGGATCAATGGTACTTAAGGTGTGGATGTATTTATAGGGGTAAAATGAACTTTTGATCAAGTTGTAATTAGAACAACTTGTGAAAATCGACTTGCATGTAATGATTATATCAATGGATACAATTTGTCCTATAGTACATAAAAGTGCATCCTTCCCTATCGTATTTCAAGCTATGAGTCAAAACACTCCTTAAAAATTACTTGCAAGAACCCAATCTAGATACCGGTGTAAACACTTTTTTAGCCTTAAAAATTACTTTCAAGAGCTTCAACTTGATCATATGGGTCCTAATTTGGTCGATATGTATAATAGCTCAAGCTTACTACTAGCAAATATTGTCTCAATTTTCTCTCTTCGACTTCCCCTCAAGGTTTTTAAAATGCATATGCTAGGGAGAGGTTTCTACACCATTGTAAAATGCTTTGTTCTCCTCCCCAACCAACGTGGGATCTCACAATCCACCCCCCTCAGGGCTTAACGTCCTCGCTGGCATTTGTTTCCTTCTTCAATCAATGTGGGACCTCCAATCTACCTCCTTTGAGCCCTAGTATGGCATACGACCTCATGTCTACCCCCCTTCGAGGATTAGCCTTCTCGTTGGCACATTGCCCGATGTCCGACTCTAATACTAATTGTAACGACATTAGATTTCTACTTACCTAGAGTCGCTACCGTCATTATAATGTAATCATTTTTATGCACAAAAGAGTATTAAAACTTCATCATAAAACATAAACTTCATTTTAAAACACTATCATGGACTTACGTGTTTGAAAACATCTTTAAGACGACACATCGAAATATTAAATGAAATAAATAAAAATTAAAATTAAAACCATCATATCGTAACCTAAATCTTGCAACTACCCTATGTATGTGTCATGGTCTCGAATTGCGACACCGTTGTCAGCCGTACAAGAATGTCTTGCGTTTACCTGAAATAAAAGTAGCACACAGCTTGATTATTTTAACAAATACTCAGTAAGTGATCCCATTATTGGGGCCAGGGGAAGCAAACACATTCAACTCATGATTAGGGACCTATCGTTAAACCATTGTAGAGGTGGCCTCTAGTCCCGACAAAATTGGATGTATAATACTTCCCTACACACGACTCACACGTGAGAGCGTGGGTTCCCAGGCGATTCACACCCCCCTAGACCCATCATAGTCGAGCTCACTATTCGTAGCGATGACCGGAGGTCTGCAGACCTTGAGTGTCATGTGAGGCATGATGATGATGAAGATCATCGTCATTATAGTGAATGTGTCCATACTTATCATCATAAATGAGAAAGTATCCCAATGTATATGAACACACAAAATGATGAGTCCCTTATAGTTTTCATCTTTAAATCATCTTTATGACACAACCTTATACACTATTCACACATAACTCTGAGTAACATGCACACGTTGACCTTTATACATTCATCATCATTAACATTAATTAGGATTGTGTCTTTGAAAGCTCGTCATCATAATCCATCGTGATATTTAATACATGTACATCATCTTAATATGAAATATCATCATATTAAGTCGTTTCGTCATCATACGTCTCACATCCTCTTGTTATCATGCATCATCTTCATCATGCCAACATCATGTACATCATCACATAAAATCATCACATTATCATATAAAATCATCATGTCATCATATAATATTGTCACATCATCATACAACATCATCACATTATCATATAATATAAAGCATAAATGACACGTGCAAGGCCAATAGGCACATGTCGTCAAGTCTTCCGACCAAGCCTATAGTAAGGCCACTTACATGATTGGCCTTAGCCAAAGTTCTATCAAGCTCAAAATTTGTTTGTTTTTGTCATTCGAATTCGTTCTCACCTATGTCGAGATTTCACCTATTTTGAATGTAAACTTAATTGTCTCATAAAAATCAAATTACATGTTTTATACCTACCCTTAATATCGTAAATGAGTCTTATTTGAATTCTCGTAGTATTTTGAGTGTTTAGACTAACAAGTATTGTTATCTTTGGATTTTTCATTTCGAGCTTCCCTTCAAAGAAACACCGTCATAAAAAAATGTTTCATTTTCCTCCTCAATTGAAGTGAGATCTCATAATACGGGTCCGAACACTTAGCTTAACCTTAAAAATTACTTTCTAAGAGCTCCATTCATTATTATAGTATAATACAAATTAGACTAATCACGTTCGTGTTGTTCTCCGGTGGGACCCACCTGATGCCAGGTGTCCCGTTGCAACCCCATTCTCACACCGACACCCCCGAGGACGACAACAGATTTAGCTAGAGATGACGAAGACAGACACAGGAGAAGCCACGTGGCCGACATATTCATCCTTACCAAGCCACGTGGCCGACAGATTCATCCTTACCAAGCCACGTGGCAGACATGATTACCCATGAAGCAGAGCCACATGGCAAGCTGCGAAGCTCCATGAACTCCATCTCCATGGCTTAGAAAGGGGGGCTTCATTCCCTTCATTCTCCTCCTCCTTCCTCCATTTGCATGGATAAGATAAGGTTGATTGAAGCCATAATGGGAAGAATGGACAGAAAATCATCCATTGAAACAGAGCCCAGGACTCTCAAAATGAACCAAATCCAATTCGCAAGATTAAGTATGAAAGGTTTAGTAATTCTGTGTGTCTTTTTGGTTTGAGTAAGGCTTTCAGATGAGCAATGCTTTTGTGATGAACTGCAGGAAGCAGCGCTGTACGTGATGAACACAACCAGCATGGAAGAAGCCATCAAGATCTTCACAGAGGTAATATCATACACAAATTCCGCTATCAATCACTACGAGATTCCATATTGGTTAAAACGGGTAAGTAAACATTTATTATAAGAGTATGAAAATCACTCTACAGTACACTTATTTTAAAATCGTGAGAGGCTGATGACGATACGTGATGAGCTAAAGCGGACATGTCTATTAGCAGTGGGCTTGGACTATTATAAATGGTATCAGCCAGATACTGGGCTGCGTCCTAGCGAGGGCTCTGGCCGGATGGTGAGATCTCACATTCGTTGGAGAGAGGAACAAATCATTCGTTATAAAGGTGCTGAAATCTCTCCATAGGTTGGTGGCAGTATGTAACGAGCTAAAATGGACAAATCTATTAGTGGTTGGCTTGGGCTATTACAAATGATTTCAAAACCAGACAAAGGACAGTGGGCCAATGAGGATGCTGGCCCTCTAGAGAGGTGGATTGTGAGATCTCATATTCGTTGTAGAGGGAAAACGAAGCATTCCTTATAAGAGAGTGGAAACCTCTCTCTAATAGACGCATTTTGAAACCGTGAGGCTAACGATGATACATATCGGGCTAAAGCGGACGATATTTACTAGCAGTGAGATTGAACTATTACAAATGGCATGAGAGCCAGATACCGAACGGTGTGCCAGCGAAGACGTTCGACCCTCAAAGGGGTGGATTGTGAGATCCCATATTGGTTAGAGAGAGGAATGAAACATTTTTTAGAAGGGTGTGGAAACCTCTCCTAGACGCATTTTGAAACCGTACCACTGACGGTGATACATAACAGGCCAAAATGGACAATATCTACTAGCGGTAGGCATGGGCTATTACAAATGGTACTAGAGCCAAACATCGAGTGGTGTGCCAGCGAGGACGCTGCCCCCAAAGGAGTGGATGGTGAAATCTCACATTCGTTGGAGAGGGAAACGAAACATTCCTTATAAGAGTGGAAACCTCTCCGTAACAGACGCGTTTTAAAACTGTGAGCCTGATGACGATACATAACAGATCAAAGCAGACACTATCTACTAGCAGTGGGCTTGAGCTATTACAAATGATATCAGAGTCACATACCGGGTAGTGTGCCAGTGAAGATGCTGACCCTCAAAGGGGTGGATTGTGAGATTCCATATTGGTTGGAGAGGGGAACGGAACATTACATTCTTACCTCTCTCTAATAGACACGTTTTAAAACTGTAAGGCTGACGACGATACATAATGGGGCAAAATGAACCATATTTAATAGCGGTAGGATGGAGCGGTTACAATTACTTTAATATAATTACCATAATATAAAAAATGGAAAAGGGTTAGGATTAGAAGCAGTGGAATGCAAAGCAATTCGAGATGAAGATGAATCCATAATGGAGAATTGGTTCCATGAAGAAGAAGCTGAGAGCTTCTTCTTCTTTATCAGCTTCGAGACATTGTCATTGCCCCTTTTTAGTCTGCTAAATATCATCACTTTCCTTTGTGATCAAAATTTTGATTTACCTCATCTCGATATCAAATTCATTTTGGACGTAGAAATATCGAAGAAAACGGCAACATGTTTAATACTCTAATTCTGATATCTAATTTTAGGCATGTCTATATCGATGTTGAGGTCGATGTTTGCTCTACGTATAGAATCTTGTACTATATGATATTTAGCTTTTCATGTAATTTGAAAGTGTGATCTTAAAAATTATAGTGGCCTAACTATTTGGTTGGTTTTAAGATCGAGTGATAAGTCTCAAGTTGTTATTTTCAAGTGTGGAATTCGATTGCTCACCTAACCCTGTTAATCTGTAATTACAAAGTTTTAGATTTTTGAATAAATCAAAACAAAAAAAAGATCTTTTTGTTAGAAAAGTGTCCCACATTGATTAAGTTAGGAAATGATTATGGGTTTATAATCTAAGAATATACTCTTCATTGGTGTGAGGTCTTTTGGGAAGTTCAATGCAAAGTCATGAGAGCTTATGTTCAGAGTGGACAATATCATACCATTGTGGAGAGTCATGTTCATCTAACATGGTATCATAGTCATGCTCTAGACTTAGCCGTGCCAATTTTTCATTGCTATGTTTTAGAATTTTTGCAAATATTTGAAAATAAATAAATATTTTACCTATAAAATAAAAATGTTGAATAAATAACCCTAAAATCTAAATAAATTTAACTCAACCCAATATTTTGTAACTATGGTGTGATAGGTCTATTTTATCTACGAGAGTGTGCCCCGTGGGAACCAGCTTCAAATGGGAAGGGGATTTCTCGTCTTATTACTAGTTTGAATTAGTCAAGATATTCGTAATCAATTAATATTTTGAGAATATTATTAGTTATAGAATATATCTAAGATATTCCGTTAATATTTTTGAATAGTATATTTTATTTTATTTTCAAGATTTAATTAGTTTATATTTTTATTATTTGTAGGTATTAATTGGTAGCTTATATCCTATTTAAACGTTGTGAATATCAATGAAAATTGAACATTATATCCCAATTTTATTTCTCAATTCTTAACTCTGTATTGTTTTCTTGAATAATAATATTTTCAGATCTATTCATATTTTTTAGTGGTAAATATTATGTGTCGGTCTTAGACGAGAATGAAGTAGATGAGGAACATTTTTTTTTCTTTACATAAATAATGTCGTGGACGGGATTATATTCACTGTTCCTGTCCAATTTCTCATTTGGCTTAATTTTTTTTTTTAGTTCTTTAAACCCATTAATGGCTGCATGATAAGATTTCTCTAAGTGTCTCCAAAGGAGGGCCCACCTTTTCCTTTTCAACACATTACATCTTGCTTTCTTAATCCTCGGGCGTCAAAACAAGGGGCAATTTAAAGCTTCCATTAACAAAAACAGGTCAAGACACGAACCAAGAATATAATCTTTATCTCCGACTCCATTTCTAGTTTAAAACAATAACTTTTCGTTTTATCTAAATGAACATCTCTAATTAAAATTAAGCTCTACGAGATTTCGAGAATTGATATCCAAATTTTGAAAAGAGTTATAAAACTCGAGGTATGCACTTTTTTATACATTTATTCATAATGATAATACCAAACAAAAATAAAAGTAAACCATATTGGCTATGGAAACTTTAATTCCAATGGATTCTATGAACCCTAAATCCAGGGCAAAGCATTACATAAAATTGTAACTGTTGCATGGCAATATGAACACTTTTTATTACATTTTTAATGAAGAATCCTATAGTTTGTACATATTTGGGGTTTAGATATAGTTATCCTCATAACATTACAACTATTTGTTGGTGGGTGTTTTTTTCCTCAATTAGGTTAAGGTTAAGTACATACATCGAATCATCGGGATAAACATATACAATTTCAAAGATGTAACAAATACAAGTTCGTTTTGACTCGTTATGGATAGTTATCAGTCTCACTGTTTTAAAATGCGTTTACTAGAAAGAGGTTTCCACACTCTTGTGAGAAATGTTTTGTTTCTCTCTCCAATCAATGTGGGATCTCGCAAACCTAGCCCCGACCCTATTCTGACATTGGCTCAACTCAGCTCAGCTCGACTCGGCGGCGTGTTCAGCTCAATTTCAAGTTATTAGAAGTTTTGGGACATGATTCTAATGTTTTGGATGATTTAATGGCTGATTTTGACATTTTTAGGAGTAATTGAGGGTATTACCTCATTCTAGTCAATTTAAGTTGAATTAGTTGACACCGTTGGATGAGTTAAATTGTGTAACGTGCTCTAACTCTGTGACAACGTAGATTATGTAGGTTAAATTGGACTTTTATGAGCAGTTCAAACCAACTTTAAGACTATTTAGTGACTCCCGCTCATGCCAACCAAAATTTCTCTACTATTGGTTTGGTTGAATGAATTAATTGTATTATATATGACAACTCGCCCTGCACGTGTCATATGTACAAATAATATACTATGCTATGCTATGATATGCTATGCCATGTATATAAGATACGCTATAATGTGACTCTCATTCATGTTGCGTAAAATTATTATGAAATCGATAATATATGATGCATAAATCTTTGTAGACCATGTCATGAAAGCTCTACCATATATAAAAGAAATTACAAGATTATGTTTACAGATGAATGAAGGTTTATCTTACATCATAAATTATGTCATGAATGACAATGGAATCTTATCCAGGTTTGTGTGTCAACGGTCCAAACTCTATACTTCCCCATTTTTGTGTTGCTTTAAAATTTTTCCACGAACGTTAAAGTCCATGATTGAATATTTCTACACTTACGAGTCATGTCATGTGATAGCAATTTTATTACCGTAGAAAAATTAAGGTCGTTATACTCTAAACGGTTGTAAATAACCCATTGACTTACCTTCTAAAACCCGAATTCGTACCGGATAGTTGCACATATACCCTTATCTGTTAGGGAGAAAAAGGCTTTTAATGAAAGCAAACGCCACAAAGGCAATTACCATAACCTTCCTTTGGCAGCTAGCTTCTCCCTTTCACTATAAAAGCATAAATGAAATTAAAAAATAAATCACTGAGAAAAGAAAAAAAGTTCATATTATTGTGAAATGGAAGAAGTGAAAGTGGTGATTGTGGGTGCTGGCCCTTCTGGCTTGGCTACCTCTGCTTGCTTAAATTACCTTTCCATTCCAAACATTGTCTTGGAGAAAGAAGATTGTATTGCTTCTCTTTGGAAGAAGAGAGCTTATGATCGCTTATGCCTTCACTTAGCCAAAGATTTTTGCTCTCTTCCCTTGATGTCTCACTCCGCTTCCACTCCGACGTTCATGTCACGAGCCACCTTTCTCGAGTATGTCGACAATTACGTCGCCAAGTTCGACATAAAGCCTTGGTTTCACAGGTAAAAGTTTAATAGTGGTATTGATAGAGATGTCAAAGTCTACTAGATCCCACGTCAGTTTGGGAGGAGAACGAAACACCCTTTATAAGGATGTGGAAACCTATCTTTAGTAGACACGTGCCCGAAAGGGAAAGTTCAAAGAGAACAATATCTGCTAGTGGTGGACCTGGGCTGTTACAATATCGATATCTAATGACATGGAAGGATGTGGAAACCTATCTCTAGTAGATGCTTGAAAGGGAAAGTCCAAAGAGAACAATATTTGTTAGTGATGGACCTGAGCTGTTACAATATCGATATCTAACGAAAGTATTGACATGTCAGGAACGTGGAGAAGGCTTGGTTGAAGGAGGAAGGGGAGAATATGTGGAGGGTGGAAGCTAGGAATATCGAGACGGGGGAGATGGAGGTTTATGCGTCTGAGTTTCTAGTCGTTGCAAGCGGAGAGAACAGCGTCGCGAACATGCCGGAGGTGGACGGGTTAAAAACGTTCGGCGGAGAGATCGTTCATTCTAGTCAATATAAGAATGGACGAGCTTATGAAGGGAAAGATGTTTTGGTGGTTGGCTGTGGGAATTCCGGCATGGAAATTTCTTTTGATCTCTCAAACTATGGAGCTCGCCCTTCAATCGTTATTAGAAGTCCAGTAAGCTCTCTATTTTTCTAGTAAGCTAAAAGTTAACTTTCTATGTTCAAAATAGGTAAGTGATCCACACATTGTCTTGTTTTTGCATGCAATCATTGTATTTCTACCCTTTTTTTCCCTTTCGGTTCGAACTCGATGAATAAAATGATCGATAGTATGTATAAGTTTGCTAAAATTTGAAACGTTTTTCGTTTTCTGTCTAAACTCGATCCTCGAACATCTTAATTGACCAAAATTTGAACCATCTTTTGGGTCGGAATTTGATAGTCTAATGTCTTAATGAAATCATCCTAACTTTTTGTTTTGTCTGGATTTGTTGTCAAAGGTGCATGCACTAGCTTAAGATTTTTTTTTGATGTTTTTAAGGTATTGCATACATTTGTAAATCAAGTAAGGAGAGACATAGTTGCATGCAGTTGAGTTTAAAGTTATTATTATTATTAATTTAATTTAATTATTATGAATTATCAATTAAATTTTGTATTATTTTGAATGCATCCATCTAAACACGTGTTACCCTAATCACCATTAACATAGAATTAAGTCAACCTTTGCAAACAAAAGTAGAAACAAAACTTACCATGTTGTTCTTTGTTTTTTTTTTGTTCCTATGTTTGTTTTTTTATAAAATTATAAATATTTTCTATGATAAAATAATAACACAAATTTTCCGAGTATGAAATGGATTAAAATGTATTTCGAAAAATTGACGATAATCTATTCTAATTTTAAGGTTTGTTGAAAGAACAAAATTGTCACTATTGTGGTATTTGGTGTTGAAGATGCACGTGCTGAAAAGGAAAATGGTGTATTTGGGAATGGTTTTGGGGAAGTGTTTGCCAGTCGATGTCGTAGATTCACTTCTTATAGGCTTGGCTATGGTTAAGTTTGGCGACATGTCGGCTCATGGCATAGTTCGACCAAAGTTGGGTCCGATGCAATTCAAATCCCTGACTGGAAAAACGCCCGTCATTGATGTCGGGACCATTTCCAAGATTCGATCTGGTGAAATTAAGGTAATTGTGTAATTTTTTTTATCCGTTAAGCTCGATAATTTCTTGAGTCGCTCGTGCAACTGTCTCGACAATCGAGGAAGTTTTTTGAAATGTTTTTTTTGATAATGTGTTTGTTGGTTGTGCATAGGTTTTTCCACAAATATCAAACATCAAGGGGGACACCGTTGAGTTTGAAAATGGAGTGAGGAAGAACTTTGATGCCATTGTGTTTGCCACTGGCTATAAAAGTTGTGCTAACAAGTGGCTGAAGGTAGCCTTTTTACTTTACCACCTAACTTCAAGAGTCTATCATTTCCACACACACACATATATATATAGATATATTTGAAACATGAAAGATAAAAATGAAAACCGTTATATATGTGATGTCCCATATCGGTTGGGGAGGATAATGAAATACCAGTTATATAAGAGTGTGGAAACCCCTCCCTATGAGACGCATTTTAAAAACCTTAAAGGAAAGCCTGAAAGAAAAAATCTAGAGAGAACAATATTTGCTAATGGTGGGCTTGAGCTATTACAAATGATATTAGAGCCAGACACCGGAAAATGTGCGGCGAGAAAGCTGTTCCCTTAAGGTGGTAGACATGAGGTATTTGCTAATGGTGGGCTTGAGCTGTTACAAATGATATTAGAGCCAGACACCGGAAAATGTGCCGTGAGAAAACTGTTCCCTTAAGGTGGTAGACATGAGGTGTGTGTCAGTAAGATGTTGGGGCCCAAAGGGGGGTGGATTTGGTGGGGGTCCCACATCGTCTGTAGAAAGGAACGAGTGGCAACGAGACATGAGGTGGTGTGTCTGTAAAGACGTTGGGGCCTGAAGGAGGGTGGATTTGGTGGGGTCCCACATTGTTTGGAGAAAGGAATAAGTGCCAACAAGAACGCTGGGCTCCGAATGGGGTGGATTGGGATGTCCCACATTGGTTGGGAGGAGAACGAAACACCCTTTATAAAGGTGTGGAAACCTCTCCACAGCATACGTGTTTTAAAAACCTTAAAGGGAAGCCCGAAAAGGAAAGCCCATTATGAATGAACTGAGATCATATCCAAATGAAAACGGCTCACTTTACCATGTACTGCAACTGAGCACTCAACTCTCTCTGAATCATTCACGTTATAAGTCATCAGGTTGTGTAAATTGTAAATCCCAACTTTAAGAAGTAAGCAACCGCTAAAAAAAAGTTCCCACGGACCGAGAGTGGTTCAGGGCAGATGATTTTCTTAAAAGATTATCAGAACTCTAAAGTTAAGCGTGTTTTGTGTGAAACGATTCTACGTTGAGTCACTTTCTAGAAAGCACATAAGTGAGGAACGCTCAATAAGTATTCATGAGTATCATAATTCTATCACGAATTCTTACACTCGAGACTAACTAACAAACAAATTATGTTATTTATGTAGGATTATGAAGTTGTGCTAAACGAACGTGGAATGCCAAGAAGCCAAGCTCCAAATCATTGGAAGGGAGACAAGAATGCTTACTGTGTTGGGCTGTCAATGCGAGGGCTGGCTGGAGTTTCTGCTGATGCAAAGGCTGTTTCTCAAGATATTAGCAACATTATCTTAACCAAACTTAAATGATCTTTTCTTTACACATTTTGTGCTCTAAATCTTCATTTCTGTGTGTACTCAAAACTGCTTTATGGCCCTTCTCTTTTATTTATCCATTTATAGCTTTTAGTTTGTTCAATGATTTTGATACTCGATCCGTTCTATTGAAGCATACTTGATAAGAAATCAATCAGGGAAAGTTTTGATACCAAATGATAAGTAATTACTACAATGGAAATAAGATTTTGATTACTTTGTTGATCGAATATCTCAAAGCAAGAACACTTGCTTGAGATTCGAATCACTCCACAAACAAGATTGATCATGTCTAGTTTAAATGATTCTAAATATGCAACCTCAGCTACATACGATTGTAAAGGGTAGGTAAGAAGAGTTTCATAAACTTAAACGATGAAGGGTAGTTTTTATTTTTAGTTAAAGTTTAGTGGGTTTTAAAATTCAATCGTAAATGAAGATGGAGAAGAAAAAAAATGAAAAACATACCAATAACAGCAAAGGTTTTTTCATAATTCTTTGTCTCTTTGTCTCTCCCCTCTCGACATCTCTTTCACAAGTACATGAGTAGTACTTTA